TTCCATTTCATCACCTACTTAATTTTCTAGATCAATCTTTATTTATAAAAGCTTGTCCTCTCGCCTTCTGTGTCGGTGTCATGCTGTAGATTTTGATCCCTATGGTGCAAGGACAGACCCAGAATCAGGAAGTAGATAATACAGGGCGCAGAAAGAACAGAGACACTATTTGTTCACATATGGGAATGGGGAAGGTGGTATATCAAAATGACCATAGCTTCAATGAAAGAGAAACCTTCTGTAGAATTATTCTTTCCACAGGGATACCATTTAAAAAATAATAAGACTATACCATCTAAAAAAGAATAAGACTATGTCACTTGTAATCTAATTAATAAACTGGAGATGGCCGGTTTGGCTCAGCGGTTAGAGCATCCGCCTGTGATCCAGAGAGACCCGGGTTTGGTTCCCGCTAAGGGCATGTACCTCGGTTGCAGTTTGTCCCCGGCCCTGGTTGGTCGTGCGGGTGGCAGCCACTGGATGTGTCCCTTTCACATCGATGTTTCCCTCTCTCTCTCTTCCTCTCTCTCCCTCCCACTCTGTCTGTACAAAAAAAATGGAAGGATGTCCTCGGGTGAGGATAAAAAAAAATAATAATAAAATAAACTGGAGCTGAGCACATGATCTTATATCTAAAAATCCCTGAATACCTTTATAATTCATTCAATTTTCTCTCATGCAAAAGTAAAGCTCTTGTCTCCAGAAATAATCTATCCACTTTCTGATACTTATTTCCACATTTCAATGTTCAAAGGTCGCTTCAAATTTTTAAAACATTACTCCAACCCTTGTTTGTTGTTTAAATTACCTTAAAACCAATAATATACAATTTCTAATACCCATTCATGATATTTTATTGTAGTCATTCATTCTATTCAATATTTATTTTAGCATCTACCATATTCCAGACACGGATCCACCTGCACTTTTTTATTTTAATTTACATATGAATGACATCTGCAATGCAGATTCCAATTCAGTGTGTCTATACTAGGTCTCAAGATTCTGCATGGCTTAAAAAAAAATCGGGCGATACTGATCATACATTAAGCATAAAGGGTCTAATCCATCTAACTCGAAAAACAAAGAAAGTGATAAACAACAATAACAACAAAAATCTATTAACTTTCATGGCTGAAAGTCTTGTTGCTTAAAAGTAGGTTTCATTGAGCCAAAAAGAAGATCGGTCTTGGGGCATGGAATCTAAACATCAAGCAGTATGGCCACTGCCCCAGACTTTTGCAAGCAGTTTTATGCATCCACCAAGAGGAACAGAGAACAGGTCATTTGAAAGAAATTTACATTAGCTGTAGCTATAGGCGAAGGGGAAGGAGAAGGTGAAATCGGACCTGCTCTGGGATAGGCACAGAGCCAACCAAGAAGCGTCTGTTCCTGTAGCTCAGCTGTGGGTAATAGTCCAGAAAGGCCACATGTAAACAGCAATCGGAAGCTCCTGGAGTTAGATGGTGCCTGGCTAAAATCATCTCGGGAATATCCACCGGGAAATTAATCTGAAGTTCCAACAGGTATTTGAGCAGCTTTTTTTGTTTTTGTTTTTAAATCCTTACCTGACGATATTTTTTCCACTGATTTCTCAGAGAGAGTGGCAGGGAGGGAGAGAGAGAAACATCAATGAGAGAGAGAGAGAGAGAGAGAGACAGAGACTGGCTGCCTCCCACACGCACCCTGACTAAGGCCTGGAAATGAACCTGCAACCCAGGTAAGTACCCTTGACCTAGAATCAAAGCCACGACCCTTCGGTCCAAGGGCCGACATGCTAACCACTGAGCCAAACCAGCCAGGGCTAAGCAGCATTTTCCTCCCCTGACCAAGAGCCACGAACAAACTAACAGTACCGGCTCTCACCATCAGACTGTTACAATTTAATTAAAAACTTCTCAGAATTTTCTCCTTATCAGAAGCCACATCTGAATAATACCATCTATGAACAATTTGTGATCTGGCGATGTAAACTACAATCGAGAAAGAACTGTAGTAGTTTTGAAATTTCAACAAAAGCTTCCGAATTTAATATAATCCAGGATACAAAAGACAACGCTATCAGAGCAGGACTAGTACCAGATTCAGAAAGAAAAATAAGATATGGAGAACATTCTATTCCTCAAGGATCAAAAGTTTATTGCTATTTGAGATCATCTGCTGCGATAGCAAGAATTTTAAAAGTTTAAGGAAAAAGGGAGGGAGCGTGGCTGATACAGAAGGCAATCAATAAATACTTTGTTGAAGAACCACAGATCTCACGACATTGTACTATCAGGCTAAAACAGAATCTCTAGTCACCTCCAATCGCTGGCTTAATAAAAACTGCGCTGTGTTCACAGGAGGAGGAAAAAAATCAAATACCGCCATAAAATCAACTAAGAAATATTTTCCCAAGGGAGCAGAGAAAACAGGTAGAAGGAGCAAAATGGACTTTGCTGCAGCACAGCTTAGAGAAGGATGGTAACCACATCCCTTTCTTCTGTTTCCAAAAGACTCACTGCAGTCTTTTGCGTATAGATGAAAAGGAATTAAGAGAAACACTGCAGGCCCTGGCCGGTTTGGCTCAGCGGTTAGAGTGTTTACCTGTGGTCCGGAGAGACCTGGGTTCGGTTCCCGCTAGGGGCACATAACTTGGTTGCAGTTTGTCCCCAGCCCTGGTTGGGTCGTGTGGGTGGCAGCCACTCGATGTGTCACTTTCACGTCGATGTTTCTCTCTCTCTCTCCCTCTATCTGAACAAAATATCGAAAAATGTCCTTGGGTGAGGATAAAAAAAAAATAAAAAAGAGATACACTGCAGGAATTTGTTCAAAGACGCACACACACACACACACACACATTCACACATGTGGTCATTTTCTGCAGGTTTATACTTATTCTTATGTGGACGTAACTGAACATTCATTTGAATCATTTCGTTGTGAATAGCATTTCAGGAACTGGCATTAACACTCCAATTATGCTTTTCGGATATTGCAACCTCAGAAACCTTTCTTCAGTATGACCTTTGCACCTTTTTTTTTTTTTTTCCTTTTGCTCCAAATCGGCCTCTTCTAACACCAGAGACTCACCTGCCTCTCCTTGCTTGCACTTCCACACTTCCTTAATCATCAAGCCCTCGGGACAGTGAGATTCCGGTCAGCATCAGTCTTAGGAACAAAGGCTCAGGTCTGTTGACAAGGGAAACAGAATTTTAGTCAAACTAAAAGATGACATCTAGACCTCAGCAGTGTTGAGGGCCAGACCCAGAAAACCACAGGGACCTGACCACCATACCCTTACAAAACCAGACAGAATAATGCCGTGGCTCACCTGTGACTCCGGGATGGGTGCCGTTTCCTTAAACAAACTTTTCTTTTCTTTGCTGAAACTCCTGTTCGCATTAGACTGAGCTGTGATGCATGCAGGCAAACGATACCTTCAGTTTGGTAAAATTTTAGTTTGTTCCCATGTTGAAAAAAACCTGACTTCAGATCAGAAATTGCAGCAAAGAAAGACAAGTTACATATTATCTCTGTTAGAATAAAATGTTTCACTTCTCATACGGTGGTCTAGAGAATACAGACTTCTGTTTACTCTAGACTGATTACAGACTCATTACTATGCACCTTTACCAAAGCTTCCTAACAGACCACCAACGTGTAGCATTTAACTTTCACTGCCATTTTCAACTTCAAATATCATAGGATACATACCATTCGTCTTGGGAAACATCAGAAGCCTCTAGATGAAGCCAAGAACTTCTGTATCATCATTCCCTATAATATATGCAACTAAGTTGAAATAGGTCTCTGTATTTGCTGATTGCCTCAATTTAAAGTAACTTGCGTTCAACTGTGAATCACAAGCTGCTGAAAGCTAATCAATATACTGCTTAGATTCAAACAAAAATTTAAAACAATGCCATTTAGCATAAATAACTGAAATGAAAATGCTAAGAGCTCTACTATAGAATATTATTTCAATTTGAATGATCCTTTATAACTGATTTGCAGGTGGCGATAACTTGCAAATTAAGTTGTCAAGAAACTAGGCCGATGTGACCCCAGTGACTGAGCTTTCACAGAGCGGACAATGAAAGCTGAATTTTGAGGCTTCAGCCTTTACTGCTGCTGTCCAGGGTAGGAATAGCGCTTTTTTTTTGTGCAGCCTTATCCAAAGAACATCACTAATGAATATCGTCAGTCTACCATTTTGTAGTTAGAGAACAAGAGGTTAACATCCTTGCCTCAATACTAATTAACTGGTTGAAGTGCTTGACCAGGGAATTATTTCTTTACCTTTTCAGTGCCCTCTCAATAAAACCGATTACTTACTTTTCGTACCAACTCCACCTAACAGCACAGTAAATGCTGTGAGAAACAAAACCCAACAGAAAAAAATTCAATTTACATGAATATGGCATACCTCTAGGGTCAATTAATCTTCAAACTTCACACAGAGGTTCAGTCAGTCATAAACGTGTAAGACGAGTCAAGTGAGCCAAGAGTCTTTGAAGAACTGAGCAAAAAACAAGTCAATAATCCAGTCCAGAAGCATGAACAAGGCAGTCACTGGGATGGACCTTGTCAATTGTGCACCAGCTGCCAAGTCTCCTTTTCGGTTGTTTATTGGACAATTGCAGTTTCTCTCCTAGTAAGATGCATCCATTGCTTTATTCACGTTTTTGCACATTCCAGCCAGGCAGGGGAAGAACACACAATCAAAGACTTATATAGCAGGGGGAAAAAAATGTTTATCAACTGGTTTTTCTTTCCCCTTTCTAAACAACACGCAGTTTTCTTCATAAACTTCCAAAACAATATCCCACTGATAAGCGGGATTTCAAAACTTCGATGTTAATCTGCATTTCTATTTTCTCACCTATGGGCAGTTTATTCGGACACCGCTCCCACGGCGCCAGAAGCCCTCAAAGGAAAAACAAGGACCATGACGGGAAAACTATTAACGAGAGAAAAGTGCAGAAGAGACGGCTTCGGGAGACGCACCTGAGGGCGGGTCAGTAGAAGCAGACGGTGTGCAGGAAAGGCCGGCCACACTTCTCCTCAAAGTCCTGCAGGAGCTCATCCAGCTCGTCCTCCATGTCATCTATGAGCAGGATGCACTGGCACAGCTCGCAGAGGAGGAACGCCCCCAGGATGGCCTCGTCGTCGTCGTCCTGGATGTCCAGGTTGATCACGTGCACCGGCTGGCAGGTCACCTGCTCTCTGGAATTCAGGTCTTCCACCACCTGGTCGTACACCCGCTCTTCGCAGGTGAGGATCAGGTCGAACACATCTTGGCAGTTCTGGAACCTTTCCGGCCTGGGCTTGATTCGCTTATTTCTCTCCAACATGTGTAAAATGCCATTCTGCGTGTAGAGATCTTGGTCCTTCTGAACAAGATCCTCATACATCTGCTCGTAGGTGGTTTGGAAATCATAAACATTTGGCTCGTCGGGGGAGGGGCCTGGAAGCTTCACGTAAGACCCTGTTCCGAAGGACCGGACGCTGAATCCCCGTTTCTTGAGGATGGAGTGCGCCTCCATGCTGCGGTTCTGGTTGCTGGAGCACACGACGGCCAGCCGCAGCTGCGACCTGGTGGCTGCCGCACCATCCGGCTCCAGCTCCATTGTTTTCTCACCAGGAAGACGGTGGTCGAGGTTCCTGGCGGTCGTGATGGGCCCTAGCGAGTGTAGCTGCAGCGGGAGTAGCGGCCGAGGGAGTGGCAGCGGCAGTGGCAGGGGGCATAGCGGCAACAGCAGTGACAGCGGGAGCAGCGGCAGGGGGAGTAGCGGCAACAGCAGTGGCAGTGGGAGCAGCGGCAGGGGGAGTAGCGGCAACAGCAGTGGCAGTGGGAGCAGCGGCAGGGGGAGTAGCGGCAACAGCAGTGACAGTGGGAGCAGCGGCGGGGGGAGTAGCGGCAACAGCAGTGACAGCGGGAGCAGCGGCAGGGGGAGTAGCGGCAACAGCAGTGACAGTGGGAGCAGCGGCAGGGGGAGTAGCGGCAACATCAGTGACAGCAGGAGCAGCGGCAGTGGAGTAGCGGCAACATCAGTGACAGCGGGAGCAGCGGCGGGGGGAGTAGCGGCAGGGGGAGTAGCGGCAACAGCAGTGACAGTGGGAGCAGCGGCAGGGGGAGTAGCGGCAACAGCAGGGACAGCAGGAGCAGCGGCAGTGGAGTAGCGGCAACATCAGTGACAGCGGGAGCAGCGGCAGGGGGAGTAGCGGCAATAGCAGTGACCGCGGGAGCAGCGGCAGGGGGAGGAGCAGCAACGGCAGTGACAGTGTGAGTAGCGGCAGTAGGAGGAGCAGCGGGAGGAGCGGCAAGGGCGGCAGCAGGAGTAGCGGCAGCGGGAGGAGCAGCGGCAAGGGCGGCAGCAGGAGTAGCGGCAGCGAGAGGAACGGCGGTGGGAGTAGCGGCAGCGGGAGGAGCGGCAGCGGGAGTAGCGGCGGCGGGAGGAGGGGCAAGGGCGGCAGGGGGAGTAGCGGCAGCGGGAGGAGCGGCGGTGGGGGGAACGGTACAGGCGGCAGCGGGAGGAGCGGCGGTGGGGGGAACGGCACAGGCGGCAGCGGGAGGAGCGGCAAGCACGGCAGCAGGAGTAGCGGCAGTGGGAGTAGCGGCAGTAGCGGGAGTAACAGCAGTGATGTATTGCATCACGACGCTTGGCCCAGCGCCCTAGTGACGTACTCGGCGCAGGCGTGTGCACACAATTCCAGAGTCCTCCCCACACTGGCCCAGAGCCCCACCAGCAGATTGAAGTTTGCCCACCCCATGGGCATGCGCACAACTGTTTTGGGGTGTCTGGCAGAGGCCCAAGCTCTTCCCAGGGACTAACCACGGGCCCCAACACATTTGTTTTTTCAGTAACTTCAATGTGGGAATACCTACAGCTTACACTGTCAGGCTTTGCCTAATTGCATGATTCACTGAACAAGGACTTTAGAGGGGGTGTATTTCATCTCGGAGGCCTGATCTACCGTTCTTGCTGCACATAAATGTCATTGTTCACAGATGGAAACAAGGGGCTGAGGAAAGGCAGGGGGGATAAGGAAATAACTACTGTGGAACAGGATCTATTAAATGCACAGTTTCACATGTTTTACCCACTTCAATTTTCACAAGAACTCTGCGACTACAATTAGTACTCACATACATTTTTCAGCGCGTTTTGAATTTCTACAGCCGTTAAGTATTAATACAGAGGTCAAATCTAGTTCCATTCCATTCAGCTCAATCATCACTTCTCTCGTGTCTGCTACTATGGGGGGGGGGGGGTATTTTCAGAAATCCTATATGTTAAAAAAAAGTACTGTGCATCTTTCTTTTTCCAGGTTGTTTTTCCATGGTCTGTTTATACGTTTCTGCCACACTAAACCTGTATGTTGAGAAAGCAAGGCTGGCTTACGTTTGTCCCCTAAGGGGGCTAGAACTGTGTCAGACACACAGCAGTTTCTCAGGTAATGTTTGTTAAATGATGACCAAATGACTCCAAAATCTATGATGTTTTAAGCTATCTTCTAGTACAGCGATTTTCAACGGGTGTGTTGCAAAAGGCACACTGGGGGGTCGTAAGAAAGTTTAAGGGCTGAGGGTTCCTTGAGGCCCTGACAGATGTGGGTGTCAGCCCCAGTGGCTGCAGCTGCAGCGGGGGGTGGGGGGGTGGGGGGCAGGGAGCGGCGTGTAGACAGGACCTTGGAGGGGCAGAGCGGTCACTATAAGATTGAGGCGGTGGGGGAACTCAGATTGTGGCAAGATGGCACTGTGTTCACCAAAGACGCCTATTCCGAGTGTTATGTCCCCACCGTGTTTGGGAACTTCACTGCGGGCTTTGACATCGACAAAGTACTCAACATGTGGGACACTTCAAGTTCCTCTTACTAGGATAACGTACGGCCGCTGGCCTATCCTGATTCCAATGCTGTGCTCATCTGCTTCAGCATCAGCCGACCAGAAACACTAGCCAGTGTCCACAGGAAGTGGCAAGGGGAGACTCAGTTTTGCCCCATGCCAAGCTTGTGCTGGTTGGCTGTAGACTGGACATGCGGACCCACCTGGCCACATTGAGGGAGCTGTCCGAGCAGCCACATATCCCTGTTACACAGGAGCAGGGCACTGTGCTAGCCAAGCAAGTGGGGGACATGTCCTGGGTGGACCACTCCTCCCAGTCCTCTGAGTGCAGCGCCAGGGATGTCTTAAATGTGGGCACAGTGGCCTCCCTTGGCCATGGCCACAGGCAGCTCTGCTATACGGACTCTCGCCGGGGACTGCAGCGATGCGCTCAGCTGGGAAGACAGCACATCCGGGGAACAAGAACAAAGGCAAGATACACAAGGATCCAGCCAAGAGTTGCAACCTCATGTGAGAAGCTGGGGAGGGGCAGAGTGCCAGGAGGAGAGGTAAAGGGCACAACCGTTCCCCTGCCTGCACTCTGGCTTCCTGACCTCCTGGCTGTAGCTGGGACTTCAGGGCAGGCTGGGTGAACAGTTCTCCTAGGGAAGGGATCTATGCCGCCATCCGCATACCCTCATTCCCCTCGTCTCCACAGGGAGCTACCAGGGCAGAAGCTGAGATAGGGCAGGGGTCTTGGGGACGCTGGCATGAAGCAGGGACCACGGTTGAGTCTGAGTACATAAAGGGTGCCTTCCATCTCCACCCCCAGGGTCCATATCCTGGTCCTGGCTTCCTTCCTTTAGGAAAGTGTCCATTCTATGACCTTCCGTTTTCCTCTCCTCCCACATCTATAGCTGTTCTCCCTCCCCTCAACTCCAGGCGACATGCGCAAATTAAAAAGCGCGTTGAGAAGCCCCCTCACCCCATATACCCACCAGTCCTAGAGCCCCTCTCTTTTCCCTTAACAGTCCCCAAATAAAGCCCATGTCCATGAAAAAAAAAAAAAAAAAAAGGTTTTAATATATACCTGAGTATTTAGTCAGGGGCACTGACCTCTTTTCCCTTAGACTGCCAAATAAAAAAATGAGAACAGCCAACACAATAGCTGTCCAGTGTGAATGAATAAAAATTATACTATCTTTTTTTTTTAGTCAGATCATCCAAAAAATATTTTTTGCTGTGCCGCGGAATTTTACTAATTATTTTCTGTGTGCCACGAGATGAAAAAGGTTGAAAATCGCTGTTCTAGTATCTTAGTCTTTCAACCCCACCCCATGAGAAGCCATCTCTTCCTTTTTTTGACCTTGCCAAACAAATTGTTGTCTCTGATGGCCTGGTAGCATAGTTATTTTGCATTTGTCATGTTTTCTCTACCATAACCTGACCTCTTTCAGGGTGTATTGTCCAGATTGTCCTAGCAACCAACCTTAATGGCTCACTAATGACAGCCTAGCTACCTTGTTAATGCAGGGGACCAAAATTTGCCAGCCCAAAATAATGCCTTTTGGGATACTGATTTTAAGCTGGTCCTAATCCTGGGTATTTATCTGAAGAAAGCAAAAACACTAACTCAGAAAGAGATATGCATCCCTATGTTCGTTTTAAATAGCCAAGACATGGAAGCAACCTAAATGTCCATTAAGAGATGAATGGATAATGAATATATGGACTACATAGACAACGGACTATTACTCAGCAATAAAAAAGAATGAAATCTTGCCATTAGAAAAAACATGGATGGATCTCAACCTTCCTAATGCCGCGACCCTTTAATACAGTTCCTCATGTTGTGGTGACTCCCCAACCATAAAATTATTTTCGTTGCTACTTCATAAGTGTAATTTTGCTACTGTTATGTCTTAGGCGACTGACCCCTGTGAAAGGGTCGTTTGACCCCCAAAGGGGTTGTGACTCACAGGTTGAGAACCGCTTACCAAGAGGGTATTATGCTCAGTGAAATAAGTCAGACAGACAAAGCAAAATACCATATAATTTCACTTATATGTGGAATCTAAAAAACAAAATAAAAGAGTAAACAAAGCAAACCCATAACTATAGAAAACAAGCTAACAGTTGCCAAACGACGAGATGCTGGGGATAGGATAAAAAATTGGTTTAAATAATAAACTAATACGATGTTATTAAAAAGAGAGTGAGAGCCCTGGCCGGTTTGGCTCAGCGGTTAGAGCGTCGGCCTGTGGTCCGGAGAGACCCGGGTTCGGTTCCCGCTAAGGGCACGTACCTCGGTTGCAGTTTGTCCCCGGTCCTGGTTGGTCGTGCGGGTGGCAGCCACTCGATGTGTCCCTTCACGTCGATGTTTCTCTCTCTCTCCCTTCCTCTCTCTCCCTCCCACTCTATCTGAACAAAAAATGGAAAAATATCCTCGGGTGAGGATAAAAAAAAAAAGAGAGTGAGAGAAAATAGCTCCCAACATTCCACTACTACCTTTTTAATATAAAATATATAAGCTGAATATTTTTATAAAACAAAAGAATGAGAAACAATCTTTGACCTCTCTCTCTCTCTCTTTTTTTTTAATCCTCACCTCAGGGCACTTTTTGCATTCATAGAGCGAGAGGGAGAGAGGGAGGAAGAGAGAGAGAGAGAAAAAAACATCGATGTGCAAGAGACACATCAACCGGTTACCACCCACACAACCACAACTGGGGCCGGGGACAAACTGCAACTGAGGTACGTGCCCTTAGAGGGACCCGAACCCGGGTCTCTCTGGACCACAGGCCGACACTCTAACCTCTGAGCCTGCCTAAAGGAATTTATGTAGAAAAACCTGCTTCAGGAAGGAACATTAGCATATTCACCTTGGCACATATGAATTAAGTGCGGCAGAGAGGGAGAAATCTAGCCAAGCCTGTTTGTTGGACTCCCCTATGGGCCCAGCAACAATTCGTTCACCACATAGTTGCTCTTTCTCATCTACCACGGAATTACCTACGTTCCCTTTGAAATCCCAGACCCTGCCTCACGCCTCCTTGGTCCAGAATGGCACGTAAGCCGCAAATGCCTAATTTGTCCTTTGGTCTTTTATTCTTATGGAAACCATGTATGTATATCCACCATACATTTTGTCATTTTCTCCTGTTAGTTCTGTCTCACGTTGGTTAATAGTCCAGACACAAGAACTTAGAAAAGTGGGAAGAAAATTATTTGTTCTGACCCAACATTAGGTACTAGGTGGGGTAACTCAAAGTCAAATAGTACATGGTCCTTCCTCTCAAGGGGATCACAGTCTACTCACAAGAGTCTCCAAACAATAGTGTGAAAACAACTATGATTGATGCATGAGCAAAGTGGTATGGAAGCATACAAGAATGATTGTGTCTGCTTTCACAAAGGAGGTAATACCTAATTTTTTTTTTCTTTATGATTTTAGAGAGAGGAAGGAAGAGGAAGAGACAGAAACATCGATGAGAGAACATCAATTGGTCACCTCCTGCATGCCCCCCACTGGGGATCAGGCCCACAACCTGGGCATGTGCCCTGACCGGGAATCGAACCGGCGACCTCTTGGTGTATGGGTCAAGGCTCAACCACTGAGCCACACCAACCAGACAAAGAGGTAATATCTAAATGAAGGCTAATCTGCAGCAGTTCAGCAGCTGATACAATTTATGCATCTTTCTGTAACAAAGAGTATTTAAAATGGTTTAAAATAGAAAAGAGTTTCCTGCTTTCAAACAAAACTCCCTCTGCTAGCAATAAAATTGCCACAGGTGTTTCACACAATTATGAATGCAAACTTGGAGGAGTGTAAAGACCTGATCCGTGCACAGGTTTAGGTTCAAATCTTACTCAGACTTCGAACTCTGACCTTGAGAAAATGACTTAATCTGAGTTTCAATGTTCTAATCACAGTAAAATGAAGATAGTGAAGCCAGAGAATTAATACCCTCAGAAAATATATTTAATGCGAAATAGGTTTGTGAGCTACTATGGACTAATAGGCACAAGAAGGAAGTCATGTAGCACCCTGTTAACCATCAAAGAAATTGCTTAGCCTAGGACCTGTTGGACTACAGGAAAAGTGAGTAACTAAGAGCAGAAATTATAATAGCATACAAAGAAAAAGAGTCATGCCTAGGTGGTGTGGCTCAGTGGACTGAGCGTCGTGCTATGGACTGAGAAGTCCCAGTTCGATTCCCAGTCAGGGCACACACCCCCGTGGCGGGCTTGATCCCCAGTAGGGCGCGTGCAGGAGGCAGCCAATCCATGTTTCTCTCTTGCATTCAATGTTCTATCTAAGAAAAAAATTTAAAAAAATCAATAAAAACATATCAAAAAATAAAAGAATAAGAGTCACAAGATGTATAGTTTCAACCCCTACACATCAAAATAACCTATTGACACACATTGTTAAGATGCTTTGCAACCCACAAAGCCAATGGCCACCCCACCATCTCCCAAAAAACAGGCAAAAGGCGACACCAGGAGGAAAGCAGATGATTGGAAGATGAAACTTAATCGCTTACCTACTCAAGAACATTGACCCCCAACCCCTTACTCATGATTACTCATGATTTCTGCTCTGGAAAACCTCTTGTCTCTGAGTCATAGGAGAGACAGGCTTCTGAGCAGTAGCTTCCCTGTCCTCCTGGGTGTTGCCATTCATAATAAAATGGCCAAATTGTCTCCACTGCAATGTCTGGGGGTAAGTTCTCATTGACTCACAGCACACATGGGCATGTCCTGCCTCGCTTTTGACTTGTTTGGTTTCTCTGTACCGCAGGCCGACGCTCCAACCGCTGAGCCAAACCGGCCAGGGCGACTTGTTTAGTTTCAATAGTAACTACTCATTTTGTTGGAAAGTGTACATAAAGCCCCTCAAATGGTACACATGCTTAGTGCCTAACAGGCACTATCCTGAATGAATATTAGTTGCTCTAGCCAGTTTAGAAGCAGGGGACATTACTTTTTGAAGAATAACATTTATAGTCAATAATGAAAACTGCGTTTCCAACTTATTTTCTTGCCCATGTTTAATCCTTATATCAAAGACAGTCTTGTTTCCTTTGCCTATAAACTCTCCTGGCTGGGAGATGTCTGTTGTATTCTAATGGCCTAATCTATATGTTCTTTCACTCTGCCAGAAAATGACTTATTAGGCCCAGATTTATGTAGCCCCCACTAACACACATGATGAATTGTTAATGCCTAGGATGATAAGGGGATGCAAATGTCAGCATCTCTACTTAGAATGATGTCAGGGCAATCTGACATGGTAAACAGATATCTGAGTGTAATTCAAAGGAGTGTATAGGAAGCCATCTACCTGTGATAAGGTCAATGTGAGTCATGATAGTTTCAGAACAGGGAGAGAATGACAGTATTGTGCATCATTAATGGAAGGCTTCTTGGAGGAGTTGGCACTTAACTTAGATCTTTTTTTAAAAAAATATTTTTTCTTTATTGATTTTAGAGAGAGAGGAAGTGGGAGGGAGAGAGAGATAGAAACATCGATGAGAGAGAACATCGATCGGCCGCCTCCTGCATGCCCCCCACTGGGGATCAGGCCCACAACCTGGGCCTGGGCCCTGACTGGGAATCGAAGCGGCAGCCTCTTGGTGCATGGGTCGACGCTCAACCACTGAGCCGTACTGGCTGGGCTTAACTTAGATCCTAAAGTCTGAGCAGGTTTGAATAAATAAGGTAGGTGAGCCTGACTTTCAGAAGTTTTCCAGGTGGAATGAATGG